GGGGGGGGCGCTGATGGCGTAGCAGTTCTGCGGAGGCGACTGACCGGGCCCTCGCACGTGCAGAGTCTAGGCCTATGGCGCCAAGGCGGGGACTTGACCCCCCACTATGCCCACCCCCACCCCCTACCTACCCAAGAGCCTCACTGACGGGGGCTAATAAGAAGTACCCGCCCATAAGGTCGCACCATAAGGTCGAGATGGGGGAGGGGGGGTAATTGCTCAACCCCGAGGGCGACCTGCAGGAGCCGGTGGGCGGTCCCTGTCTCTGCCTATGGGCCCCTGGCTGGACTCATAGCCAGCTCCTGCGTCTCTGGTGGTGGGCCAGGGTGGGCCCTAGGTCCGTGGTGGGCCCGGGCACCGCAGCCGCGGGTCGCGCCCGCCCCGGCGCAACGCTGCTCTAGCATTTCGCAGCGCCCAGCACATTTCACGTTGACCGGTGCAGTACGGTCCGGGACGGCTTGGCTCGGCGGCGGCCCTGCCCGCGTCGCCCCCCGGCCCCCTCCGCGACCCCCTCTCCCGCGGGCCCCCGCCGGCGGGCAGCTCGTGAGAACTGATGTGGTCGCGGGGCACGCCGCACCGGGTGTCACTCGCTCGCAGGACGCCGTGGACGCGAGACTCTCGCGGGCCGCGCCCCGGGTCGCGGACTTGGCCGCCGCGCGGGTCGCGGACTCGGCCGCGGCCGGCACTCCTCCTCGTGCACCTGCTCGTCGGCATCCCCGAGCTCGCCGCGCCGCTCAAGTGCTCCGCCACGCACCTCAGCCTGAGGACTTCCTACGCCGCGGGGTCGCCGTCGAGGACACGCCGCGGGCCGCCGCGCGCTGCAGCACCACCACGAACACGAGGTAAGCTAGTTCTGCGCTGTCGTCCCTAACGCGCCGCGGGGGCTGGGCCTTCCCCGGAGCCTCTCACGGCCAGGTCCTGTGTGTGGTACAGGGTGGACGCAGTGCGTGGTTGCGCCCCACCCCGCGAGCGGGACTGCCCAGCTGACTAGCCACGGCGCCGCATAGGCAACCCCGCTCGCACGCCTGCACGCGGGTTGCGTACCCACTCGGTCTGGCGGCGGCGGCGCGCTGTCCGTACCGCACCCCCCGTCCTCCCGCCGGCCGGATCAGAGCTCGACGCGTTTGTTTGCGAGTAGCAGCTGCGCGGGCCGGTGGCGCCGCTCGCCGTCGTGTCGCGCCGTGGTCGCGTCTCGTTTCGCCTTAGCCCCGGCCGCTGCTGCTGGAGCGCGTCCGAGTAAGCCGCGTCCCCGCGCAGAACACCACCGCGACCACCGGGTCGGTTGGTGTTGCTTGGTGTGGCTACGCGCACGCAGCCCCGGCGGGTCGAGATACACCACGTCCTGGGCGGGCTGTGGGCGCGGGGCCGCG